ATGTCGACAAGCGAGGTCAAGAAAGCGTGTGTGCAATTGGTAACAGATGAAAAAGTGCCATTCTCTCTTTTTGATTCTGCACCTTTTAAAGCGCTGACAGACCAAATTTTTAATGGGTTGCAGATGAGCCCCATTACCTCACGGAATGTTATGCATCATGTCACGGAAAAATATGAGCGCGAAAAGTCCGTCTTAAGAGATCGACTTCAAAGTAAAATGCTATCGCTCAAAATTGACATTGCTTCTCGACATTCCAAAGGCATTCTGGGATTAAACGTCTAATATTATAGAAATCATGCCATTGAAATAAAGACATTGGGCATAATTGAGCTGCAGCGCCAACACACAGGGCTCAATTTGAGCATTGAAATCGAAAATATTTTGGCAGAATTTTCGATTTCAAAGCAGCAGTTATATACGATAACATCGGACAATGGTAGAAATATCATAAAGGCAATTGATTGTTTGAACGAGGAACTGGAAAGTGTGGTCAGTGCTGACATCGAAAATGAGCAGCTGATGGACAGCATAAATGTTTTTTCGATTTCATCAATTCGATGTGCTGTTCACTCGTTGCAATTAGCCGTGAAAGATTTTTTGAGCAATGATGCAAGGGATGCTACTGTTGCAAGTGCGCGAAAACTTGTAAAAGCTTTGCGCACACCGACGTTCAGGTAAACATACAAATTAACGAATTCTAATCATACCAATGAATAATTTTCTTCTTGTATACTGAATTTAGACTAGCAATTTCAACTACAGCGCTACCTCTGCCTGTCATTGATGTGCCCACCAGATGGAGTTCATGTTTTGAAATGCTAAGAAGTGTATGCATATACGAGGAGTTCATCCAGCAACACTTGCCTGAAAACTTGCAACTCTCAAAGAAGCAATGGGTTGACATCAAAGTTCTGTTGTCTGTGCTGGAGCCTATTTCAGAAGCCACAAAAAAGTTGCAAAGCGAACAACTTTATTTTGGAGATTTCTACAAGCTTTTTCTGGAAACAAAACTAATGATAAAGTCTATGGTTAGCAACATCCATAGTGAGGATCTAGCTAAAAGCTTGGAAAAGCGTGAAGAAATACTCACAACGAATGAGGTAATTCTTTCGTCAATTTATTTGGATGCCAGAATTCGTCGAATTCTTCTAAAGAATCCACTTCAGCTGGCGGCAGCCAAAAATCATTTGGTAGCATTGATGCGCCAAATACTTGCCCTAAATAAAAAGGTGAGTCTAATATCTCCTTCCATGTTTAAAAGCAATTACTAATTATCTTTTTTGCTTTTATTATCAGGAGAGCCACACAATCGATAAAGGGATTTCGCCAGAGGTCTCACAGGCAACGTCGAGTCAACCGGACGATGGCCTTGAACTGAATTCGCAAAGCACTTGTTCATTTTTAAACGCATATTTGAACTCTATTGAGGTTGCGTCTGACTGTGAAGAGTCTGAGGAAGAGGACGAACCGGAACTAAAATTGGCCATAACCGAAATTTATGGATATTCCCCAAAACCCATAGATTTAAACGTGGACATTATGTGCTATTGGGAGGATAAAAAGTTCACGTATCCACGATTGTACCGTCTTGCGAAGGTAGTTCACTCGGTGCCTGCCACGCAGGTTTCGGTGGAAAGGGCATTTTCTGCTCTTAA